CCACAGGGCGCGACACATCGCCGCGTTGTGTGAAGTGCAAGCGCAGCATGTGTCGACACCGGCACCGGTAACTAGCACGGCCGTTGCTAGGACCGGTGGGCCTGCTGAATCAGCGCGATCGATTACTATAAATCGATCGCGTGGATGAAGCAGAGAGGAGACCGTGATTAGACTGCAAGCTCACTGTGAGGCTCCGCAAGCCGGAGAGTTTACCGCAGTGAGATACAGCCGTGTAAGATATAGAAGGAGTTGTAATCAGAGAAATAAAAGATAAAAATACAAGTTCGTGTTCTGAACTTAATCTTTCATCACCCAACCACCTCGACATCCAACAATACTTTTATATACAGAACAATCAGTAGAATCACATTATGTACAGAAGATTATGTAATTTCATTTAAAGAAATAAAATCGACTTATAGCATTTAAAAAAATTAATTTTATCATTATATAGTCTTCTTTAGATCATGCAACTTTTATATATATATTTTGTCTGAAACATCTTCAGTAAAATACATAATTTTTTTAAATAATTTAAAACCGTCGATTTGAAGCACCCTCATAGTATTACAAGGATAAATAACGTTTTTGACATTAATTCTTCCATATATAAAAATAGTTATTCTTATTAATTATATTAAAAAAAAATATATATATATATTTTGTCCAATATTTTATACCTTCCTTCTATGAGAGCAGTTTGTGCGTTCACAATTTTTGTATTTCTTTCCCGATTTGCACGCATATGTATACGTCGAGGATTTAAACCTTCTTGCACACGTGAGAAATCTATTTCTTGATCGATAATTAAATTTTTCAAATTATCTAAAATTATAAAAACATTTTAGCATTTAAGAATTTTTATATAATTTAAAGATTGGAATAATACTTGACATCGCGATGCTGTCGCGTTGTTTGATAATTATAATTTATACTAGTTATTTAATCTATAAAAAAATATTTCTTTATATTTTTTAACATAAAAGGACGATTTAAAGAAATGTATTTTTATAAAATTTATTTTTTGTAAAATTATAATTTTCTATTGTACTTTGTTCGCACAAGTAACTTTATTATTAAATCCAATTTTTTTATGTAAGTATTAAGAAAAAGAACATACACTATTTTTATAGTTAAATTAGAATATTTATATTTGTACAAATATATAAAAATATATTTCTTCTTTTGTATTGTAATTTTATGCCTATTGAATTTTGTAATGCAATTTTTATATAAAATCATAATTACCTAAAAATATCCATATATTTGAATGTGGTTTTCGAAGTTTTTGTGCAGCTATTTTATGGAAACTTTCCACACTATTGTTCGTTCTTACAGGGCAACCAAAAGTGCTAACTTTTTCCGCTTTTGATAACCAATTATCGGACATATATTTCAGAAACTTTAATATATTAGAATATTGCGAATATAAAGAATTAGCAACACCTTCCATTATTACATAGGCATTTGGAAATAAATTAGCCGGTAATAAAGGTATATTCATTGAAATGCTCAATAAATCTGATGGAGCTTCTATAAGGCCTAATTGACGCCACTTGCGCAAAATAGCCTGTTATAAAGATAATTTTTAAGAAAATTATTTTAACTTGAGTAGATGTATTGTTAAAGCAACATTTAATAAGAAAAAAATAAGATATACCTGGTTAAAATGAAACCAGCAACCATGAATTTTTGATTGAGGAAAATTTTCATTCATTGATGACATTGCTGCTACTTCATAGTCTGACATTATAAACTCTAGATTTTTTTCAAGATTAGGTGCTAATTCTTTAATCCTTTTCCAAATAGCGTTATACATAGATGTGGTCCGTTTTTCGCACAAGATATACACTGCAGCAATGCTCTAAAAATATATTTGATTACTGGCTAAATCTATGAAAAATAAAATTTTGCATAAAAAATTTTTCTTTATTTTAATATTTAACTTACTGTTTCCATGTAACGAATATGTATAGTATATAATTGTGCAATAAGTGGAAATTGTGGAACTACCTGTAAAAAAAAATATAGATATATTTTATAATTAGACAATTGCAGGTATTATCGGTTTACAAATATAGTAAAAGAACGATACTTACAGAAAATGTTCCATCTACATATATCTCTGTAGATACTGATAATGCATCTAATAAAACATTTGTACTGAAGATAATAGCCATTTCATTATTAGTAGATGTAACATTTCCTTTATATACATCTTTCAATGACTCATAATTGAGCAAACAATCTTTCAATTTTTCCATAGAATTTGGTATAGGAGGAAAAGAGCTCATTCTTGTTCGATGCAGAATTGTTCTCATTGATGAATACGTAATATGTGAACCCACAAGTGGATTACTGTAGATTAATTAAAGATATGTTATCTTATAGTTCTTAAATACTTACTGTAATATACATATTACCTTCGACAAACAAAATCAAATATTTCTTTTGGTCGCAAACCAGTTTCTTTCGACATAACTAACATATCATTTTTCATCTTAATAATATCGACGAGCTGTGGATTCTCTTCATGATTGTGAGAATGTTTGATAATAAAATTATCATTTTTCTTCATTACACAAGCGTTACATTTAGCTAATTTTCGATTAGCGCAACGATAAATATTATTACGTTTATCTAAATGATAAGTATAACCATCATATATATACTTTACAGTTCCTTCTCTTTTACCCTTTATAATTTCCATCTATAAAAATAAATATTGAAATAAATTCAAATTAATATACAACACTATACCGATAGTAATTTAAATTTATATACAAGACACACACAGACACACAAAGAGTAATTTAGTAGAATTCTTATACTTAATCCTCCAACATAACTCGACCAACTAAATTAATATCACCCAGAATGATTTTACTTATTGCAAAATATCTTTTGTGGTATGACTTTTTCAACTTTAACTGAAAATTTTTTTTAGTCTTTGAAAAATCCAATTATAGAAAATAATTAAAACCAATGTATTACAGAGATAGTGTAAATAGGTACAGTCTATTTTGAAATGTGTGTACTAACGATTAATTATTGCTTGTATAGTATTGCAAAATTCACTGCCAATGCTGAAAATCTATAATATACATATAGATTTTCAGTACTAGCAGTGTACATATATCGGTATGCATGCTATGTAGTACAAAATTGTACTAATAAACGATAAAAAAATTTGTCATATTGTATTCTGAACCATTTATTTCTATATCTTAATGTATCCTTCTTCATAAAAAAATTCTAATTGTAACTTGCTATTTCTTTTTTTAATATAGGGCACTAAAATATTTATTATAACAAACACTATATGCAAAACGTAATGGGCCTTTTGATTGAATCAAACAAGTGTAATCTAAATAATTTTGTACATATAATATACCGTGCACGGCATGTATGCGGAATTTGACTGCGTTCAACGAGAATAACCTATAAAAGATATATGTGGAAAATTTTTCGGATACAATTGATAAATGAATATCTCTCAAATGATTACTTATTTTACATTTTTTTAACGCTATTAATCCGGCAAGAAACATTATTATGTACCTTACAATTCGCTGGCTTAAAAGGAACACAGAACGGTGACAAACCGATCATACATACAAGTCAAATTGGTACTTTGGTACTTGTTTCTCAAATGAGTTGAGGTTGAGGGGACGATACGACCCTACGGCGTTGAAACAATGAGTATGGAAATTAATAAGAATGAAATCACACGGTACGGGAATTAGTTTACGGGGCAGAGGATGCGTGATTCGAACAGCCAATCAGCGCTCTTCCGCTGAGTACAGATTATGAAGAGAACTTTTTTCGTATTATTAATATTTTTAACAGATTAAAGACAGAACTTATATATATAACAAACTCCATACGTTTCACTTATACAAATAGATCATGTTGAAACAATATTGATCAAAGTTCTAATGATAAAATCAACAATTAATAAACAAAATTATCAATATAAAATAGGTATGTGTATATACTAACGTGAACAAAAAGAGAACCTTTTTATTACAGACTTTTATACCCGTATTTATAGTCCCTCCTTAAGAAATGAGGATTTCTTATTTTGTCTGTTGTTGTTTTGCATAGGGTAAAACATAGTACATAAAACAAAGACAGACAATAACAAGGAATCCTCGTTTCTCAAGGAAGAACTATGAATACGGTCATTAAAATATGTTATTTTAAAACTAACCACGTTATGATAATATATATTTTATAGGAATTACAATTTTAGAATCAGTTTTATCAATAAAATTAAATTATTAAACATAACGCACAATAAATACGATAATAGATATACGAAATTTTAGAATCAGTTTTCTTAATAAAATTAAATTATTAAACATAAGGCACAATGAATACGACAATAGATATACGAATAAAACATAAATGTGTGGTATAAAATATAACTGAATTATTATTTATCCATAGCGTTCATTAAAAAAACATTTTAAAATTTTAATTCCTATTCCTAATATTTAATATTAAATTAGAAATTAAATAATAAAATAAAAAAGTTAATAATTTTTAATCATTTCATAATAATTTGAATTAGATTGTTTAAGTATAATCATACAAATAAGTAAAGAAGCGGCAATTACGGTCAATACTACAGTTAATAACTTTTAAGTTAAATTTAAATAAATTAATTTTAAATGACTTTTAAAGTAACTATTTTGTATCAGTGCAAAATCAATATTTAATGAGAAATATTACTTGAAAAAATTCTTATTTACATAAGTGCGCACACTTTTGGACGTCATATCAAGAGGCACGGTAGTGCCTCGCGCCAAGTTCACGCGCAACGAAGTTGCGTCAAACTGCGCGAGCACACTGTGCCTCTTATATACGCGAGATTCAGGCATTTCAGTGGAGGGGAGAGTTGTAATCAGTCATTTCTTAACAACGACTAAACCGATCGATTTCTTTTTGGACTCGTTCGATTCGCGTTAAAAAAATGAAGAAAAAAGTATTCTTGCGTTTTTTTCGTTTATAGCTTCTGAAGGGAGATAATGGAAGATAAACGAAAATGTGTGTGAAATTTATTATGCCGGTTTGTGTCCGGACCAAGAATGCGTGCCCGAATGTGTGCCGCATCTC